AAAGGCAAAAATGATTTTCTGATTTCTCATTCCAAAACAAATGCACAATCTGTCAAGAAAGGTAAGAGAGGAGAGGAAAGAAAGTTCTAGACCTGAAGATTTGTGAAGATTCACATGAAAGAGTTCATTAATGGTAATGGAGAAGATACTTCATCATCAATGGCTTTTTGCTTCTTTCCCAACGTCTTCTCTCAACCATATTGCGCAGGAAACTCCTCACCCAGTTCACCCTCTTTATTTCTAATAACAAGGGCAAGAGAGTCATTTGAAGATTCTGAAAATTGCATACAAGTCTTTTTGAGACTTCAGAAAAATTATGCCATTTCAGGGAACCTTTTGCTGTATATTTGGTTCTGTGGGACCTTAATGTCATTTTTCCAAATATTTTTTGTCAGGTGTGCATTCAAAAGCTAAGAGAGTCTCAAGGTTTAGAGGACCTGACGAGGGTGTTAGGCACGAAAAGGTCGAGAGAGATCGACTCGGAGCAGATGCAAAAAGAATCAGTAACGGAGGTGCGAGCAATGGCAAAAGAAGTAGTAGCGGAGTTGCGAGCAGAGATGGAAGCTGTCGTTGGTCGGCTTGTTCCGGAGGTCTTTAGGCATATGGCACTGGGCAGGCATGTGTCAAGGTTTGAGAAACCTCTACTATATATAAACATCCCATCTCCGAATCCCTCCCAGACAGATCAGACTGTGGGTCCAACACAGGAGCATTAAGGTAAGAAGGGTTGGCCAATATGGACCTGGTTATTTGGATTGGTTATTGTAGAACTTCGCACTTTAATATATTTTTTTCCCCGACCTGATCACACTTCAATTTGTAATTATACATGTTTCATTGTAATCTCCTGGATATCTTTTTTTTTTTTTTGATACATCATGGATATCTTGTTATTAAGCAGTAATGGTGTACATGGTCCGCAGCCCGAAAGATAAGCAGGTTATATTTTGCACCCGGTTAGCCAGCATTGCACCCAAAGAAGCTTTAACTATTTTGGGTTAGATATAGGACGGTTTCCCTACCCAAGTGTTGATGCCCTGCTTATGCCACATGTATTAAAAAGAAAAGAAAAAACTTTGTTCATATTTAGTGTTTAACAATATTTTAAATATGATTGTCTTTAATAGGAAGATACTTGTACTTAGCTAAAGGAGGAAAAAAAACTCTAATTATACTTGAAAAATACATTTAATTTAACCTATTATTAACTTCTAAAATATTAGCATACAAAATATTGAACGATACTAATAGATTCTATATTAGCCATGATGATACTAACAACAACCAAAATGAAATTACAAATTTACAATAATAATCTTCCAGATTATTGTTGTGGCTTCTTCAGTAATCAAAAATAAATGCTCAAAATATAACTAGTTACCTTTGAAACTACCATAGAAATAAGTATCTAACTACATATAAATATATATATATATATATATATATGTCTCTAAATTCAAATTTAAAATCAACCCATTAAACATTGATCAATTACCGTGGAAATGGAAAAAGGAAAGATTCTTTTTGGCTGGAAAAAAAAAACAACAAAAATATAGTATTATATTATACTGTCTATTGTAATAAATACACATAATATATATTTTTTTGGGCAAAGTCAAATGAGTAAGACGGCATGCCTTGCCCTCAATAAGCCTGGCTCAATGGTTATTTTTATTCAAGCCTTTATTTTTTGGGTCATGCTGAGCATTTTTTCTTCAAGTTCAAGCAGGTGGGTGCATCAGGGAATAACTGAAGTGAGGTTGCATTGACTATCTCAGTTGAGCATTCATTGATGAAGAGGAATCAATTGCATTAATCAATTTCGATTGGACATTAAGTGAAAATCAATGGTGTCTTTGGAAGTGTTTGCTCGCTGCGGTAATAGGAGTGAGCACTAATTAATTAGGGTCACTAGACCTAAACTTAGCAATGTTGAACTCCTAATATTAAGTGATGATTAATGATGTTTTTTTGCATATAAATATTATTGTTATGAATTTTTTTTATGAATTAGTTTGAATAGATATTTGCTTAGGGATTTTTGTAGTATGTTGCCTGATGTATTATTGTCATTGGTAATTTTATTAGTTTTAATTTTTTGATACAAATGAATCATGATAAAATACAATGATTTTAATTGAATATGTTAATTTAATGTTTGTTAGTTAAAGGTGAATAAATAGTGGTACTATTAACTACTCCCTCCGTTCCTTATTATAAGAGACATTTGATGCTTATGGCATGTTCCTATATATAAGAGACACTTACAAGTTGTCTCTACTTTTTTGTGTTGATTTACTATTTTACCCATATTTATTATCTCCAACTCACACTCTCTCTCCCTCCCACTTTTCTTTCTTTTAATAATTTAATTGTTCTCTCTCATGCTTTCTTTCCTTATTAATGAGTGTATTTTTGAAAAAAAATTATACTTTTTACATATTAATTGTTCTCAACTAATTTTAACTGTTTTTTTTATCAACATACTTCGGTTATTTGTCTCTTATAATAAGGAACGGAGGGAGTATTAACTAAGGCAAAACATGGCCATCCAATTGCATTTAGTAGTGATTTTACTAATTGAATAATATTTTATTAATTTATAAATGCATTGATAGTGTTTTCAGAACAGTCAAAAAAGTTCTGATGAGGTAGTGGTAGTTGGGAATTGGGATAACGATTTAAAACCGCCACGAACCTCAAATTTCAAACTTTATTTTCAAAATTTAAATCTCAAAATTTAAAGGGAAAAGGTGCAAGTTTCGCTATAGGTGTCTATAAGTTTCTATGGTCTAAATGTCGCTCCGAAAGTTCTAAAAACATAAGAATTTCTCCTTGACAATTACCTCAATTAAATTTGACCCCAATTTCATTTGTCTTTCAAATTTTTATTTTTATTTTTAAAATATTCTCATTGATTATAAGGGGTTCCATTAAAGAATAATTTCAATGTATATGATTATATCACATACTCCTCCTGTTTTTAATATATGACCTAATTGTTGTGTTAGTTTTGATTCTAAATATAATACATATTTCTTATATTTATTAATTTTCTCTAAATTATCCTTATAGGTACTGCCTCAACCATAATCAAGTAAAAGAAGGAGATGAGGTATTAAGAAAGATGATTATGATATTTTAAGAAAAACGTGTTATATTTCTTATAATTAACTAACTTATCTAACTACATTAATCTAGTCAAATTAGTTAAACAGGTCTTGTATTAAGGACCGAAATAGTAGAATAATTTAGAAAAGCCGATATATATTTATTATCTATAAAGCCGATCGAGGTTGTCCGCACGTAATCTTAGTTCTTGTTTTGCATGTGCGTTGACTCGTATGGTTTTCCAAAAATTGTTTTGGTTCTTGGTTTGATTTTCTAGTTCCAGCTTAATGTGGACGGGCAATCATGAATATATGTTTTTAGTCCAGATCGAGTTACTAGCGAGTTAAACCTATATGTTCCATTAATTTGTTTTGTTTAATAATTATTCCTTCCATCCGTTTTTTTTTTTTTTTCATAAGAGACAACTGTAGAGTTTGGCATGGTATCTTTTTTTTTATAAGAGACATTTAGAGGTTTTAAATTTTATTTATTGATTTTTTTTTACCTCATTTAATGACTCATATTACTTGTATCATTATATTTATGATAAAAGTACACCTAGTATTCTGATTTTTTTTATGATACTTTTAGCACCTTGATTTTATGTTTTAGTTACATCCAGCACCCTAAAGATTAGGATTTAGGGAGTTGAATGTACTAAAAAAAAAAAAAATTAAAGCATTGTATGCATTAAAAACAAAATTAGGATACTGGATGTACCAAATATTAAAATTAGGGTGCTAAATGCACCATAAAATGTTGGGATGTTGGATGCACATAAAAAATAATATTTGAGTGCTACATACACGTTTATCCTTATATCTAATCACCTCATCTTTTATATTGGTGTAATGGCATGAGTTTCATATATTGCTTAAATCACTTAAATAGCTAAACTTTTTGAATACATAATAGAAATAATTTTAAAAAAATTATAAATTTAAAAGATAAAGTGAATTAATTTTATATTTAAATTCAAAATAAATTCATTAATTATTATTAATAGAAGGGTATATAAATAAATTCTTCATAAAATTACTAAAGACGGCTCTTCCTTTCCCATCTCCAAATCTTTTGATCGTTATGTAAGTTCAATTCAATCTTCTAGTCCTTTATTGTCATTCCCCAGAAGTCTCCATCCTCGTTAATATTCAGGTAAATTGTTTTGGGGCAAATACTATAAGTTACCAAAAAAAAAAAAACTAATCACCAAAATATCTCATAATAACGGAGTATGACAAGTTTTAGTAAAAAAAAAAAGGGGTAAATATGTAATTTTACTCATGATTTTTTTTTTTTACAATTTTACCTATGATCTTTTAATTTTGGTGTATATAAAAAATAAAATCAATGATAAAATTGTAAAAAAAAATCATGACTAAAATTGTACAAAAAATCATAAGCAAAATTACACTATTAAAAGGACTGAGATATTGGACATATCTAAAAAGAAAATTACAAGTAAAATTGGGCATTTATCCTGAAAAGTATATTTCGGTCACCTGCTATTATAATTTTTGGTGACTATAGATTTCATTTTAGTAATTTTATGTCTTTTTAAGTTTTTTTTCAATCCTCCTTTTCTATACGTACGGAACATCCGCTCGTGTTTCGCGGGAAAACGTGCTGATACGGTTGTTCACTTCTTTGCAAACTTGGAAAATGAAGTTCCGTAACATGCGCTTGAGTAACGACAGCGGCACGAATCAACCACGTGGCTGAACATTCGCGAAAGTGTAGAAACCGTCCAGGTGAGTTGGCTGTACGTTGAACGAATTTGGCAACAAAAGAAGGCCAATGTGAATCTTCCTCTTTTCTTTGATGGTGAATTTTGGACCTTAAATTTTTTATGGCCAACGTTCACACACATTTTGAAAATCTCACGATTTTCCCATTGAATTTTCCTTCTACCCAAACACGCCTTCTCTTCTCCAACGGCTGCTCGACCAGCACTTTGATGCGTCTTTGACTGCGCTTGCCTAATTCCCCAATTTTCTTGGATACCCACTCTTATTTATTCGGTTTATTTAGTGGGTATCTAATCTTTTCCGATTTCATTGTTCTAGGGTACTGATTTCTTCTGGGTATATTTGGGGAAGTCCATTGAGCTTGGCTTTTAAGGAGAATGGTGGGTGCTTTATCTATTGTGGGTTCATCAGCGTTGGACTCACACACGGGTCCATGTTTGTGCCTCGATGCGTTGCCTACGACTAGTATGAATATCAAAACTGGAAGAGACGCTGTTTTGTGGAAGAACCATTCGGTAAAGCGCGGAGCGATGCAATTGAATAGTTCCTTCATTGATGCTGGGCGAGAGTGGCGGCTCTGTGTTAATAGAAATACTAGGAAGCAGCGCAGTAATAGAAGGCTAAAGATTGTTAACGAGCTTGGTGGGCAGTATGAAGATACGTTTGGTGATGTTAAAATGGTAACATAATCAGCTTTAGTTGAGAATTACGAATGGAACTTTTAAGTAGATGCAATCTGGAAATATATTATTCAGGTCATTTTTCTTTTGGTAGTCTAAAGTGTTGGCTGTTTTATTTTTTCCCTTTCAAAGTTCCAATTCATTCAATTTGGTAGCTCAATCATTTTAATGGTGCACCATTTTGGAAATATGTGAGTTATTCGTGAACGGTAACTTTCATTTTGCTACAAGCATGCTTAGTGTGAGGGTCGGAGGAGCCTCTGGACGTTGATAGTTTTCTTGTTAAGCTTTCTTCATGGAACTTTGTGAGAAAATATCTAAGTAGTCTTTGATTATATTTGTCCCGAAATTTTCAAGCACGAGTTTTGTGGGCTCTTTACATGTATATGCTCTTTAGTGCAATTCGATTCTACTTAGTGTAAAAACTAGAGTAATTGTTGTGCATTTGCACAGAGCATGAAATGTAATCTCTTTTATATCGATGCGCTTTAGATCTTGTCTTTAAATTAATCTTAGCATTTGGCTACCCTAACATGTATATTCATAATCATATTATCGCAAATGTTACTGTCATGGTTTCTTGATTTAGATCTGTTTCCTGAAGTATTCTAAAAAGCATTGATATCATGTGTTGTAAAATTTAGCACTTCTTTTGATAGTTTGAGAAGTGGCGGTAAGGAAATTAGAGATTAGCAACTTATGAAAAAAGCACTAGGTCCCTTTGCCATGCCATATAAGAGCAGGATCATTTTAAGGAATGTGGAGTCCTTATATTACATCGAAGTATGTACTTAGACTTATGTATGTTTCACTGTCATTCGCTAATCTTCATTTTGTGATGTGAATATGTTGAACTTTATTGGCATGAATTTAACTGGAATCATGCCCTTGGATGCAGCAACTACTCAACTATTTCACTTACAAGGCTGCAAGGACTGTTCTTCAGCAGTTGTATGAGATGAACCCCAACCAATATAGGTGGTTTTATGAGTAAGTGCTATTGTTGTTGTAGCAAGATTGTTTCTGTCAAATTTAAATAATCTTCGGTCTTGTAATTATTTTGGCTTGAACATGTGGTTCGCCATTGAGTCCCACAGATATACATTTCTGAATTATTTGAGACAATTTTGGTACAATTTTTAATCACAATATGACAGATGTGGCAATTTCTGCATCATTGTATTGTATCTGCGAAGATTTTCACAATTTCATCCAAAGGTGCTCATCCTTGCTACATGTCACTTCTGATTTTCATTTGATAGGTTTGTTGCAACAAACAAGCCAGGAGATGGGAAACGTTTTATCAGATCCCTTGGCAAGGTACTGTTTGTATTCTAATTACCTATTGAATTTTCAGAAGATATTTATTGTTATTTCTTGGTTGTTGCATTATGAATACCTTGCTAACTAAGATAGATTTTAGTAATTATAGGAAGAAGTCTAAGTCCCAAATATACAGGGTGAGCTACATAAATCTAGAGATTGAAACTACTGCATGAACTGTTGAAAATTCCTTTTACTCTATTCCTCTGTTTTCCGTGCACAATCCTCTGACATACAGGGTGCCTATGTTATGCCTCTGATTTGTGTACTGCCTATAGTTTCTTCAATCCTCACACTTGTTGCAAAAACTGCTTCTGACAATGTCAATGTTGTCTACATTGTTATTGGCATTGCTGTTGCTAGTTGCTATGACAGTCAAGTGACTATTCCACAGCCATTATTGTATTATTGTTGCTCTTTTGATTGGAATTATTGTTCTTGAACTGGCAAAAACTACTCTAGTTGTGAGTATTAATGTTATTACTATCATATCTATTATGAGCCTTGTAGGTTAGCTCAAGTTGCTTCCTCTAGTTGCCAAAAAAAAAAAAAAAAATCGTTATCATAGTTGCAATTTTATTTATCATTGGTAGTTCATTACAATTCTCTCGTCCCAAATATTAATAAAAAACAATTGCAAGTTCTGTTGAACTGTTATTAAAAAGAAATAAATTTATACTGCTTTAATAAATGTTTTGCAAGCATCGCAGGAAAAACTATAATCTTGAGTACAAAAATGGTTTCAAAGAAGCTCTATCTATTGGCAAAGTTTAACGATGATTGCAAAGACACCTACTCAATCTTTCTCTTTTACTCTGCATTCCAATTTCTCTTTTGCAGTTAAAATAATGGTCCAATCAAATGCCAAATCCTCTCTATCTAATTTTGAGTTAGGATATGATTATGACAATCCAGTTACATAATGAATTTGTAAATAACTTCATTCTATTTTCCTGCCCAATTGACAGGAGAAACAAGATCTTGCTGAGAGAGTGATGATAACAAGGCTTCACCTTTATAGTAAATGGGTCAAGGTATTGAATTTTAATAGTATTTTAGTTTTTTAGGTTAACTTGGTATTATTTTTTTGGTCCTTTAAATTGTGTTTTGTGCCTCATTGATCCTCTATTTTTTAATTAGTATCCCACACCTCCTAAATCATTCACCCCCTAAAAAGGTGTTGATAAAGCCTCTTAAATGTTGATTAACCTAATGTCCAAAAAAAATGTGTAGGACTTTCATGATATAAAATTGAGGAATTAAAGAATCAATTTAGCACATAGTACATTTAATGAGTCAGATGAACTTAAAGCGACCAAAGTATTAACTTAAGTTGACCCCCCCCCCCCAAAAGAAAAAAAACCAAAACATCAAGAATTCGAATTATAATCACTACTCACACCTCTCGTAGCCACTTAACACCTAAGTTAGAATCCATTCCAACACCTGTTAATCTTTTGCAAAGGATCAAAGTAATTTTTCTTCTATTGTTGCTATGCAGAAATGTAATCATGCTGAGATATATCAAGAGATCTCAGATGAAAACTTGGAGTTGATGAGGGAAAGGCTGATGGAGACTATAATATGGCCCTCGGATGACACAAACACAGAAAAAATCGGATGATAAGTCTGCAACCTATATCTCATCTTCCATTCCGAACTCTAGCTGAAATTGGGGGGGAAAAAGAGTTTAGGTGGAGTGTACTTTTTTCCCTTTCTATACGAATCTGTTGCCTTTTCCAAATCTGCACTGTCTGCAAAATAGAATTGTTGGATTCAGTGTATAAAATGTGTACATATTTGTACTCATCTATATGCCAATAGTTAGATATAATTTGAAGAGAGTATTTGTGAGTGAGGTGTACTCACATCAATTTCTTTGTAGACTAAAATTAAATTTCAAATCATTGAGAAGCTGATATTAAAGATGTTAAACATTCAGGAATGTTACCATTTTAAACCAAGGAACTTTTTTTTTTTTTTTGGGTGGTATAATTCAGAGTATCCTCAAGCCGCTTTAGGCTTGAGATTGATATCTGTCAGGATAGGATTGTTAAGATTAAAGCCGTCCCAACAAATGTGCTTCTCAGGAAATAAACTTGTGAATGAAATCACTTGTAAATGAAAATCATTTACTATCTCAACCAATAACTTGTTGGTTAAACTAACCAACTTTATTATAATATAAGCTGAGTTGATATTTTCCTTGATTTAATTTTCTTGAAAAACATTGTTTTTTCTAAAATAGTTTTCTGTTATATATATAGGGTTAATACCATTATTTAGTCCTTATAATTTGATTGAATTTTAGTTTTTGATCCCTATAGTTTTATAAGCATTTTGTCTAAGTTAACAGCATGAAGCATAAAAACCAGAGCTATATTTTTAAAGAATTTTGGTCTCGGTTCCTATTCTTAATAGTATTGAATAAAAGTTAGTGGCATAAAATTCAGAGCAAGTTTTTAGGAAATTATAAGGAGTCAAAACCACAATTTCAAACTATAAGGAGTAAAACCAAAATTTGATCAAAACCAATAATATTAACAACCTGCATATGTATATTGAAGAATTTGAAGGATCCGCGTGGCAACGAGGGTTCTGCTGCAAACCTGATTTCTCTTGTATGTTTATGCACAATGAAGTATGCAGTAGATTTCCACTATTGTTAAATCTATTATTAAAATTCCATAATTTTCATGCCTGGATCCTGACTGCCTGCAAACTCCACAAATACCTCATTCGAATCAAAGTACAATGGGCGGAATTTGATAACGGAAAAGCCAGGCCAAAGAAAATAACGGGAAAGATCTTACAGATTAATATTTTTGCCAAGCCTTGATTTGGCAAGCCATGTTTTCTTGTTTTTTCCGCACGCAAAGGAAACAAAACTTTGAGAGAAGAGCAAGTAAACGAGCAAACTTCGAGGGGATAGACATTAATAATGTGGTTGCTAACTAATACTTATTAGAGCCAAACGGAAATCAATGAAAAATTAAACAACTCACACTAACTTCGATCTAAGCATTTAGAGTGGCTAATGGGTATTAATTGGACCAACTATGACGTTAATCCAGGCATTGCACAAAATTCCTGTAACTACGATGCATGCTTCCACTGTTAGCTTTAATGCCTTCAAGGATGGGAAAAGGAAACAAAAGACGCAATTTCATAAGCCATGAAAGAATTTGCTCGCATAGATAAACAGATGGCTTTCCATGGATCAGCTAAATTTCCCTCAACCACGACCACGTCTATTCAAGCTTTCACTTCCGCTAAGGCTTCTCTCTTTTTGCCTTTCCTTGTTTCACCTGTATTCTGTTGCTGCTGCTCAGCCTTCTTTTGAGCACGAATCATTGCGCGCCTTGCCCTTGGCCGCATTTCACGTACGTTCCTAGGAGGCATCATGTAAGATTCAAGGGGCCTATCACCAAAAGGATGCTCGCTACCAGCAAATATCCTCAATTTTCGATCCCTATCCTACATTTATGAACCGGGAAAAAAAAATGCAACTTAGAAAATCAGACAGAAAAAATGTTGTAGTAAGAATGTAAAAATAAAATATTTGACATGAAAGATCCTAAGCTATTTAGAAACCAATTTACCCTACATCTCTGAACTAGCATGACCTAATGAGCTCAGGAAACACTGAGACACTGCTCTCCATTTCTCGCTCTTTCAGAATCCAAGGAATTAAGTGAAAAAATTGCTGAAGACAGCATATTTGCATTAGATAAATAAATAAATAGAAGCAATATTAGTTTGAAGTGCTAGGTGTGCTAACTAATGCAAGAAAGGTGACTTCGACAGGGTGAATCCTCCATGATACTTTGATGACAAGTTCCCTTCTCATGATGCTCCGAACAGCCAATTTAGTGTCTACGAATGGTAAAAAATGATGATTCCCCCCTGAAGTTTGGGCTTTTGCTACCTAGGGTTGTGATCTCACATAGAATACCACATGCAACCAAGAATACTCAATCCTCATTCTGTGACATAGTCCTTTTTTGTCAATTATAATTTGGCTCCAAACTATTGGGTCCGTGCTACATAACGCTTAAAGTTTGGGGTCTGTTAGCTAAATCCCATATTCATAGTTCAAAATAACATAGTTCAAAATAACCAGAGTCTGGTCTATGTAACACTCACATCACGCAGTTTGTTTCTAGGCAGCATGCGCAGAACAGCTTTGCGAATGACTTCTGTAGGGTCTTTGGCTAACTGGTCCTTTAGACTTCTTTCCTTGAGGTGGCCCACATACCTGCATGCCACTACTTCATGTCAGGATAAGAAGCATTATCAATTCCAAGACATTATGGAATAAAGGAACCCAACAAACAGCTAACAATTGTAAGTTTGGGGAACCTTTTTTTATTTTTTTTGGGGCAACATATCAAAACACCTGATTCCAAGTAACCAAAAAATCTAAAAACTTCGTCAGTTTCATTGCAAGATCAAAAGGAACAGCACTTACCCTGTATGCCAGCGATAGAACTTATCTGTAAGCTTTCTTCCAGTCACACAAACATCCTTTGCATTAAGCACAACACACATATCTCCATCATCACGATTAGGTGCATATGTTGGCTTATCCTTGCCCTGAACTACAGTAGCTATTTGAGATGCTAACCTCCCAAGGACCTTATAAAAAAACAACACAGTTAAACGTGAAGTGATCTCATCTCTTCAAATATTTAAACAGTTCTAATCTTGATTACAACTATATCTGCCAAACAAATGGTTTCAGCCCCGTATGAAATTATCTTAAAAGGATCCACAAATAATAAATCAAGCCTACATCTACTCTGAGTAGTAATAACCTCAAGATAAGTTGCACAGAAGAATTGTTCTCTTCAGAGTCAGCTTAAAACTAGATATGCTAACCAAAAATCAACAATCTTTCTGACCGTCTACAAAATGACACCTCCGTAAATCATCCTTGTTTAGATAAATCTTCAATAGATTTTACTTCAAATTATCTCATAGTTAATGTGCATGCCAAATTGCTAATTGATTGGCTTTTGTCCAAGAACTGGATGCAATATCTCATATTTTATTCTCTTTCTCACATGCAAATGCTGGAAAATCCATGGATTGACAAACCACAAGTTGCACATTGAAATTTAGCACGAATATTAAGTACAACAAGGGTTCGCTAAACAAACATAGAAGTTAATCCCTCCGTGCCTATTTATAAGAATATTTTGGACTCCTATTTTGTCCCAAAATATAACAGAATTGGAGGAAGTTGGTAGTGTAACTAAGGTACCTTTCCCATTTTGCCCTTCACTTATATTTGTTAGTAATTAATGTACCTCTCCACCTAATCACTTTATTGAGGGCATTTTTTCAACCAAAAAAAGGGGCATAATGTGGCATATTTAAAGCATTTAACGAACAAAACAACTTTTCCTTGGTATTGAGAAATTAGTTATTTGTTTCTTATATTTAGACACAAAGGGAATATTTGAAATTGGAATCATAAGTTATTTTGTCTGTGTGGCAATGATTATGGACCAGCTCCAGTGTACTTTCACAGGAGCTCAAAAGGCAGAGAGGGAAAACCTCAAACTCACCTGGCCTTTGGCATCAAAAACCCTCCAGCGCAGCCCTTCAAGATTAATACGTCTAAGTCCCGCAAGTGCTTTCTGGAGATATCATAAAGGCCACGAGTGATCAAAATAATTTTGAAACTAAATTTGGAAGAAATCAGCATGAGACGTTGATTTTAGTCAAATGGGAAATAACAGAAATTTATACCAATATCTTGAGAATGTTCTAATGACTAGGAAGACTAGACCATCAACTTAACCGCATTTTTCCAACAAAAATTTCAAAACCTTTTTATCCAGTAAAGTATGAAGTTGACGTCAGCATTTTATATATATTTTATAACAAAGTAAGCACTTACAAAATCTTTGCAACCAATGTAATTGTGCTTGAAGTTAGGCGATTTATGAAAACTGCAATATATTAATCCATAAATTTCAAAACTACACTATGACAAGAAATGATACAAGTAAAATCGGTAATAAAAAATATACCACAGGCAGGATTTATAATGAACCCTCTGGAGTATATTACAAACATTTGGAATTTGCAGTATAATTCTAAAATATGATATAACATAGTGAGCTTCCAAACATATGAAAAAAGAAATGGAGAAGGGGAAAAACTGAAAAAGAAAAATACCTTCATGTTTCCATTGAATGTTGTTGCTGCTTGGGTTGCCATATAGACTCTAGATGTCTTCCGTCAATCTTCGTGCAAACAAACGAAAAAAATAAATTCATGACTGAGATGGCATAAAATTATAATGCACAAAAGATCCTGAAAATCGTCACCAAATTTACGAGAAATAAGAAAACAGGAGAGAAATTAAAGCTCAACACGATACTGTAAAAGGGACAGACTGTTGACCCAGGACTTGAGATGAGTAGGGGCAAAAAAACATTTTTATTCTCAACATTTTCCATATTCAATCAGAACAAGAATCGAACGGCTGGAGACTGATGGGAAAATCTTATTCTTACTTATGAATGAGGATGGACAAAAGTAGACTTATATAACACTTAGCGGAGTATCTTTCCCCACTGAATGTCTGAAATATGCATAGTTGATAATATTGATATCATACATTTCTAGTTTTTGTTCATACTTTAACGAAGATGCCTTAGTAAGCCAGCTGATTCAGGTAACCACTGCAAGACACTGAAGAATGACAACGACACTCGTAATTTATAATCTTCCAATTTCATCTTGCACTTTATGATCATGGAAAGTGTTGCCTAGAGTGAGTAAGGTGTGCAACTGATTGTTTCTGTCAACAGCTTATAAATTCACAGACCAGTGAGCAGCAGGAAATGATTTAAACTCAAGCTTCTAAATTGCCCGACACAAAACGAGACAAGTCACTTACCAGATCATGCATCACCAATACCTTGAGAATTTTAAAAATGGATGGTAATAAACAAAATGCCAATACGTAACTAATCTAACAATGCACAGCGATACAACCCAAAGCAGTCGCTAGTAATCAAAATGAAAGAGGGCAGAAGTATAATAGTCAATAGCACACCATTCAAGCAAAGGCTAATAATAAAAGTCTTGCTTATAAAAATTAAACTCAATTTGTAAATATTCCTAGACTCAAAAGCGTCAGTGTTCAAACGATTAAACGCCCAGATTCAAAGCCAAGTTAGAATGAAAAATTTAAAACAGAAAAAGAAACGGTACGACAGCATCCGGCAAACGGCTGACAACCACGCAGGAAACAGATAACGCGGGGGACAAACGCGAATATAGATTCAAAGCCAGATTGAACAAACAATCTCACCGGATTTTGGGAGAAGGCAAAGCGCTAGAGTTCGAACCTCTTTCAATACTTGCCAGAGAACAACCACGCAAGGCTGACAACGGTGGACGGCGTACGGCGGCGACTTCGACCAAGTCTGGCGTGATGGTTCGTCGACGAAGAAAAACGGAGCAGTCGAGCACAAGCGGGGTTTGTTAGGGGTTATCATTAATTTTTATTTTTTATTTTTCATAGAAGGGGTTATAATTAAGGGGAAATTGCAAAAAAAGACCTTGAAATTGTAAAAACGCAGATAGGGACCCTTGACAACTTCACTTTGGGTTTTGACAATTTCAGGGCATATTATTCTTGTCAAAACCTAAAGTGAAGTTGTCAAGGGTCCCTATCTGCGTTTTTACAATTCCAAGGTCTTTTTTTGCAATTTTCCCTATAATTAATTAGGGAAAATCCAAAAAAAAATGATAGCTGGATTTTATAATTCCAAATCAGTATTCGTTACTACACTCATAAAGAAAATAACTACATTTAAAGAGCAAATGACAATCCATTTTTGTAGTAATTTCTGATTTGGTATTTTAAAATTCAGTAATCACTTTTTTAGAATTTTCCCTATAATTAATCTTATTAATTAATTCTTTTTTCCTGAAGTTATTCATTTTCTACAAATAAACCTCCACTACACAATTAATATTCTTAAATTTCACTGCACTCTCACATACTAAAAATATCCTTTTTTTATTTGAGATTATAAATTTCTTTATGTTTTGTTATTAATTATTGAATTTGAATTGTAAATTGTCAAAGTTATATTGTTAATTATCAAATTTGAGTTGTCAGTTCTCACCAAAATTATTATATTTGCAGGTTCTGAATTTTTTTATGCTTTATGTAAATCACTTTTTGTTGTGCATCATTGAATTTGAGTTGTTTATTTACTTATAAAATTTATAAGGACCGACAACTCAAATTTGACAATTAACAATTCAAATTTGATGATTTATAAGAATTTTTTACAAAAAATAAAGCAAGTGTTTTTGTCGTTTTACCCATGAAATTCTGATCCCTCGAGTGCAACGAAATTTCATATTTTTTTTAAAAATTGATTGATCTAGATTGTCTACAATTAGGTTAAATTAAATTTTCCCAAACATTATTGTCTTTTGATATTTTTAGACCTCTTTTTTCTATTTATTCTTGGCCATTTATTTCTTTTGTGTACTTCACTTATTTTTTTTAAATTTATTTACTTATTGTTTTTTTATAAAAATGTTGAACTTACAATTTCATGATTAAAATAGCCTAACAAGAAAATTTCACGATTAAAAAAGACTGAGAAAGAGTTTAATATGACTGGGTTACAGAATTTTTCACCTTACATGCCACACAAGTCTAATTCAAGGATTCCATTTGCTACCATATGATGAATTAAGATAAATAAATCGAAATTAAATCTACCTCTTTTTTTTTTGACCAGCGAAATTAAATCTACCTAAAATATCATAATAACCTGATTCTAAATATAAAATTTAGTTTGTAACGCAACTTACACGGAAAAATACACCTTATCCTAGCCTTTTTCAAGTCTAGATATCTCACACACCTAGACACTCCCCCAACACATGGGAATTTGATCCCCCAACCTACTCAACAAGAGGGGTGGGATGATGCCATTTGAGACAACGGTCATTGGTTTGACTTTGCATGAATAAGTCAATATTTATTTATGACAAAAAAAAATTTATAATAAAATTGTATTCTTCTATAAACTTATATTATTATTTAATCATGTTTAAAAATTAATAAATTCAATTTAGCAAATCACAAGTTCTCAATAGTTATTCGCAACAACACTTCCACGATAAATTTATACCTTTTAACAAAACTTGTTATTTGATCATAACATAGGTTTAGAAATATATTAATTCAATTTAGGAAGTGCCCATTAATTAGTAATAACAAAACTTTTGCAATTAAACCATCACAAGAGTGTCAGTCACGATTAAAGGAGCGTTCAGGTCACATAAGTCCCTTTGGGAGGAAAAGGAGGTGGCTTTGGAGGAAAAAATGACAGATAGTGTAATATGATTGCATGATTCAGATATTGTTAATTGCTCATCCGGTTTTTAATATAAAATCTAATTATTAAATTAATTTTAGTCTTAAATATAATATCTATTTATTATATTTATTAATTTTTTTAAATTACTACTATAATACTCCCTCAACTATAATCAACTAAAAGAGACAGAGAGAGTATTTTTTAAAAAAAATCATATTTTTTATAATTAATAAATTTATCTAATTTTTTTAATCTAATTAAATTAGTTAAATAAATCTTATATTACGTTCTGAGTTTTTTACGGCTAAATAGTGATTTGCTAAACGTGCAGATTTTGGCATATCGAGTAAATAAAAGTAAAGTTTGTCACTGGGATTACTCATGTCGTGACGTACGCTCTTGACATTTCGATAAGATTAGCCTCTTGCCCCTTCACAGGTTCTCTTCTTTCTCCTTGGTCGCCATGGAAGCCACACTCCTTACCTTTCCAACCTCCAAAGCCCCATCTTCTCAAATCCTGACCCGGCCCGCCAACCCATTTCTATCGTCCAAACCCAGACTGTCCTACAAATCTCGCCGTCATTTGCCTTCAATCAATGCCGCAATTTCTCGCACCAAGAAAGAAGAAACCGTGGAAACAGTGAAAAAGCAGCTCGAGAACTGCTATCTCCTCGCGGCAATCAATTACAAAGGGTTCACAGTGAAGCAATTCCAAGAGCTTCGCAGAAGCCTTCCCGAGACTTCGACATTGGTTGTGGCGAAGAACACTTTGGTTTACAAGGCCGTTGAGGGTACCGAGTGGGAATCGTTGAAGCCGTGTATGAAGGGTATGAATGTTTGGCTTTTTGTTCACACTGAGGAAGTTCCTGCCGCGATTAAACCCTACAGGGATTTCCAGAAGGAGAAGAAGCTTGAAGATAATGATTTCACTGGAGCTGTGTTCGAAGGGAAGTTTTATGCTCCCGATGAGTTAAAAAAATTGGAATCTTTGCCCTCGCGTGCTGAGATTTATGCCAAATTGTTGGGTTCTTTGCAAAGTCCCGCGTCGGCTTTGGTGGGCACATTGCAAGCGCCGGCTAGAGAAATTGTAATGGTTTTGAAAGCTTACGTGAAGAAGCTGGAAGAAGAAGGTGGTGCGCAATAATGGAAATTCGTGTAATTGTAAGTGTAATTTCGATACCCTATTGTTCATTTGTGTTTCCAAGTTATATTATGTAGATTGATGTGTTTTGCTTATCTCGGAAATTGTAGAATTGAGGGATACAAGAAGAGAGGGAGAGAAACCAGGGAATGAGGAATGTATAATTGTTGAAAGTTCAGGTTTCGATGAGGGACTCTGTAAAACTTATTGCCAGTCAGTTTTCATTTTAATCATGCGATTCAACAAGTTGGTAATTTTCTTTATAATAAACTTTGTTTTCCTATTAACAAAAGTTCATTCTGTAATTGACTGGAAATGATTTTACCGACTCGATAACTGAGTGTCGTTTCATAATCACACTTGTTTCCACCTAAGTGACAGGACAATTGATTTTTTAAGGTTTTGAGAGATTAATACTGAGTGATTATTGTTTTCTGTCACATGGCTAAATATGAATTTTGGGCTGTGCATTGTAGGGTGACAAAGAATGAAAGTTATCTCAACGTCTCTCCATTTGTCAGAACCGGATTCTAATACGAAAATTTCATAATTGACTGAAGTGAGAGTTTAATCATCACATTTATTAGTCTTTACTATGTTCATCTGCTGTTAAGTCTTGTCTTGAGATAGTTTTACTAAAGTAAATAATGATCAAAGTTTAAGTTTATGAGACATTTCGCATGATATGTTTCCTGGGCCATTCTATAAGTTGTCTCATTGCTCTGATTCTGTCAACATTAATGGTCAAGACAAAAAAGGGGAAAAGAATCTGCATAAGTTGAGTGTCACAATTATTTTTCTGATTAATGAAATGGCCTGTTCTTAACAAAACAAATCAGGTAAGTTTGCCATCATACTCTAACACGTGGTGGCTGCTTCTTATGGTGAACTTTTCTGTTTTGGTAGATAATTCTCTCCTTCAAGTAGGGTCTCTATTGTGGAAGACGTTTACACCCCATCTGTGTTTTTTTTTTTTTGGGTTAAAATGACTTATAAGGGCATGGCCTGATGGTTAGGAGCAAGATTGAACCTACAACCTCCCACATGTTACCAAACTACAAAGTGATTGCTGTTTACACCCCCACTCTGATTATGAGATGTTACTTAAAGGGGAAAAAGGGTGGTTTTTCAGATGTTTTCTGTCATCAGATTTTCAAAGAAAAATGAACTAATTGGTGATCTTTTTTCTGCTTATTGCTTCACTAAAATTATTTATATCAGAGAACTTTATCCTAAACATTTGAGGAACTACATAGCTACATTTTATGACAAAGATGAATTGCCTTTTAGCTAGTCCTTTGCCCCTAGATTTCGCTCACTGAGGAAACTTTTTGAAAGCCTTTCCCCTTGGAAAAAATTCTCCATGTTAAGTGCCATCACCTCGGGACTGTTTCCTGAAGAAGCATGTTATAAAAGCCTCCTGATGGGAATTGGGAACTTTGAGATGTGGAACTGCAGAATCTGGGACTACATCTAATATTTTTTTCGGCCGAAGATACTTTATCTAATATATAGGATAATATAAAATACGAGTACTTACAAACAAGATCTTCTAATTGGGACCAGAGGTAGTATATAAGTAAATCATGTTACTCATTTTTCAAATTGTATAACCCATACTAGATAAAGATTAGAGGGGATGGGGAGAAACAGCTTCAAATCATCAAATTAAAAAAAAAAAAAGGGATCATCGAGAAATTGCATGTAAATTTATATTTTTGCTTTAAATACTGTCTTTGAGCATTCACAAAAAAAAAAATGGTGGAATCTTCAGCATGAAGCAAATGGGTGATGGGGAAAATGCTTCTCAACAGATTCTAATTACATGTAGATTACCCTTGCTTTAACTTTGTACACAGTTTTAATTTAGAATATCATTGCTTGGGGGAATTGGATGAGAGGTTTTGCCATTGCAAATTATATGGAATTGAATAATTAGCTTGATCTATTTAGATGGAAAATTCATCCTAAAGAACACAGCTTCAAATCACTATTCAGAGCAATGTAGTTCTAGTCCTATTGTATAAACTATTTTTAAAACCTTTCGCATCCGTTACTGTGGGCTTTTTTTTTTCCCCTCAGAAGAATTTTGTAAATTTTTTTTTAAAAATAGGTTAAGCAGTAAGCACAGTTGTATATATTTTGTTCTTTAACTTTATACACGGTTTTAATTTTATTCTTTAATTTTAAAAAATATATTTTTTAGTCTCTTAATCCTAAAATTGTCAAAAAAAATAATAAAATTAAGATGTTAAATTTTAATAAAATATTATCAAATGCTAATATATAAAGTTTAATTTTTAAACAACTATGATTATTATAAAAAATAGTTATTTAAACCTTAAAGGTTAAAAGATTAAAAATATACTTTTTAAATTAAGGGATTAAATTAAAATCTTGTATAAAACTAAAAATCATATTTATACTTTAATCTTTAAAATAAGTTTTAAGAATAAAAAATAAAAAAAATGTTTGGATAATTATATTAAAAATTCCCATTTGAAACAAAGAAACAAAAAATCATATTTGGTGAGTAATGGCCGTCACCGATGGTGAACGTGACGGGTGATAAGTGGGAAGAGAAGAAAGTTTCTCTAATTTTCCAAAACATAAAATAAAAAGGGAAAACCATATTGGAGGTACCTATATTTTTTTTCAATTTTTAATTTGGTACCTATGTGTTTTTTTGTTCTTAACTAAATCTTTATTTTTCCTCTATTAATATTATTAATCCTTATGTAGAGACTAAAAATATCAATATAACAAAATTATAAGAGCTAATGTTGCTAAAAAGATAAAATTAAATGTTTAATTAAAGGGAAAAAAACACATAGGTACCAAATTAAAAATAAAGAGAAAGTATAGGTACCTTCAATATGGTTTTCCCAATAAAAATTACAAAATCAAAAACAAAAAACATGTCAAACTTGTTTTTTTTTTTAAGTTTTTAAGAATATATTTTTTTTAAAACAACCAACCAAAAAAATTACTAAACAAGTTTTCTTATTTTTTAAAACAAGAAAATTGTTTTTAAAATAAGAAACCAAACAAACCCTTTATTTCTATATTTTCTTCTAGGAAAAACGACAAAAAAATAGAAATAGGTGCATTTTTTGTTTTTTAAGTTTTATATAAATTTTTGTTTTATTCCTTTAATTTTATAAAGCGTCTTTATATCTCTCTATTTCTTAATGCTATTAATTTTATCAATAAAAAATATTGATATTAAAATTTTAATTATTAATACATAATTCTTTAATACTAAATATTAAGTATTTTTTTAAATAACAATAATTAGTACTAAAAATCTAAATTTTAATGTTAGGAATAAACAACTAAATGTTAAAAGATCAAATTGAAACTTTATACATATACTTTTATGGATAATGAAAATACTCCTTCGGTCCTTAATATAAGACCCATTTAACTAATTTGATTAGATTAAGGAAGTTAGGTAAGTTAGTTAATTATAAGAAATGTGACACGTTTTTCCTAAAATACCATAATCATCTTTTTTAATACCTCATTTTCCTCTTCTACTTGATTATGGTTGAAGGAGTATCCATAGGGGTAATTTAGAGAAAATTGATAAATATGAGAAATGGATCTTATATTTAGGACCAAAACCAACTCACCAATTGGGTCTTATATTAAGGACCGGAGGAGTATCATTTATTGTTTTATAAATATTTACATCATACGTAAATACATTAAGCACATGATCTTTTATAAGTATGCAAATGCATTTGTTATAAAAGAGGGAAAAAAATTATAAATTGTTTATTTTACTTTTTTTTCCAGCTAAAAAAGAGTCAATTTTATTAATCAAAAAGCAGGAAGTACAAACACGAATAGCCAAGAAGGCCAAGTAGACAAAAAAAAACACAGACCTAAAATACAACCTGAGGAAAGCAGTAAAATGCAAACATCAATTCAAAAAAAAAAAAAAACAAGAAGCTAAAAACCAGCAAACATTAGCCAATCCCAGTTCTATCCCAAGAGAATCCACAAACTACCTCAAAATCATGCCTCAAAACTAAACACAGAGAGGGTGGTGGTTCAAAAAACCATCCTCCCGGTACCATTCCTCTCCTTACATTAGCTGCAAGGCAATCCGCAGCTCTATTGACATCCCGAGCCACGAGAGAAAGAGACCAATTCTGTTTAGACTTCAACAAATCTAAACAATTTTGTATAATGTCACTGCTTCCCCATTCACAACCTTCCAAAACACCTTTCTCCATTCTGCAGAGCAGCTCTTGGATATTTGTCTCCACCTCCATACCCCTCCAATTCTCCAACCCTTTACACTCCAAAGCTACAAACAATGCCAAAGATTCGCTCATGAAAGCAAAATCAGCATCTACCTTCATCCCCATACCTCTAACAGACCTCCCATACTCAACTCTTCCCAACAAACCCAGAGCCACCGCCTTGCTTTTGCTGCAGAATGAACCATCAATATTAATCTTTATAACACCAGCATTTGGATAAACCCACTGTAAATTCCTTTTAGTATAAACATCATGCCCATCCCCCTTCTTCTTTTCGTCTAAAGAATCCCAAAAGTCCCTAAACATTCTCAGAGTAGCAGCCACACAATGAAAAGCATTAAGCTCTTCATGCTCAAAGAAAAATTTACAGCAAGCTTTCCAAATTTCGCAACGCAGATAGACAAATAAAGCCACTTCAAATTCACTCAAGCCTCTCACCTCTTTCCACCATTCTTCTAGCCATATGTCTAATTTGAAGTCACCATTCCCACGAACCTTAGCGAGAGCGCAGCCAAACCAAACCTGTGCAGTCCAAGAACAGAAGAAAAGTATATGTTCAATGGTTTCCTCCTGTATTCCACAAAGATCACACACCGGAGATACTACACATTTTCTTTTAAACAAAACCTCCCTAGTAGCTAGAGCTCCAGAAATTGCCCTCCACAGAAAATGATTGACCTTTGGAGGCATTTTAACATTCCAAATTCCCTCCCAAATTCATTTAGGAGTTCTATAGGAGCTACCATGATCCTTGTATCTAAGACCGACCTCTCTCTCCTTTATCACCTTATAGCCTAACTTCACTGCATAACAACCATCCTTACCTCGCAACCACAACATCATATCTTCTAAATTAGACCCTAGAAGTTTGACTCATCTAATTCTTTCAATATCTTCCTCATCAAAAATATTCTCATAATTTTCCAGTCTCCATCTACCATCTTTGACATTGCCAGAAAAATGGCTTTTAACGGCGGTTAATTGAGGCTTTTAACGGCGGTTTTGGAGGTGGAGTAAAAAGAGTCGACGTTGAAAGTATAAGAAAACACGGCGGTTATTAACCACCGTGGAAAATTAACT